ATTAGACATGGAGGTATATATTACGATAATTTTCCCGTGACTAACACTATTAAACACGGGAAACACACTTTCAAACACGAGATTTCCCGTGATCAAATGATCTTTTTCCTGTAGTGTATAGCAATTAGCAAATATCACTTTTTATCTATATTTTGAAAATAAAAGTATGAATTTCACTTTTAAATTAACTATACTAGCAAAACCACAACTCAAGAACATATGGTTAGGGTATAGGGTATAGGGTGTAGGGTATGTGGTTAGTGTATAATGTATTGATGGTTTAGGGTATAAAATCAACAACATATACTAACTTAATATTGTCGATTGATGGTAAGGCTAAGTGTATAGGATATATGTTATTGAGTAAGTTATGATTGAAGTCACAATAACTTTACTAAATTTGATAGTTAATCTTTAAAGGTTCAATTTTTAGGATAATTCAAACAATTTTACATATAACTCATTTTGCAACAGTTTACTGAAGTTATTTTGGCAATGAGTTATTTCGAAATAACTCATTTTATCCTCTGCTTTTGCCAAATACCACACGCCAAATACTAGATTTTCATGGTTATACTAAACCAGATACTTTAATCCAATTACTATTGAATTAATACTAAAATATCAAATAAACAATTAATGGTGTCTTTTGGTTGCAAATATTGATATCACCATTACTACTAGCTACTGTACTTTACCAATTATGATTAATTACATAACAAGTTTGCAAGTCATACAAATTGATTTTAACATTTTGACTAGTTTTTTTCAAAAAAATTAAGTATATATATACGAGGTAGAAATAAATTGGTTAAAAAGTTGAGAAAAATATTTTAAATTAGTGTAGTAAAATGTGTAAGTTGGTAACGAGTAATGAGTAAGTTACTCGATGAGCTGGCCCGAACAACCCGAAACCCAATCCGCCCGCAACCCGCCCGACCCAAAACCCGATGAACCCACAACCCGATTTGCCCGCAACCCGATTGAACCCAAACCAAATGAACCCGCAACCCGACTAACCCGCAACCCGTTTGGACTCGAACCCGATAAACCCGCAACCCGATTAACCCGCAACCCGACTAACCCGCAACCCGTTTGAACCCGAACCCGATTGAACCCAGCCTGAACCCGCCCGATTGACACCTATAATGGTGACTGTGGATTTTTTCTTTGTGAATGGACGCATCTTGTGAAGTTTCGATCATATGTGGCTTACTCTTATGCCAAAGGTGGATGCAGTTGAGATCATATGCCAGTTACGACTATTAGTCTTGTCAATTCATTTACAAGATAATTGCTAAAATTCTAACTGGGTGATTGGCGGCTCACTTACCACTAATTGTATCCTCGTGGAAAATTTCTTTCATTCAAGAATAAGAGATTGTGGATTATGTGCTCATTGGCATGAACTAATGCACAACCTTAAGATTAAGACTAAAGGCAAGAAAGAATATATGGTTTTAAAGTTGGTATGGAAAAAAGCCGTTTTGCTAGTGATCTAGGATGGATTGGAGGTTAATGCAGTTTGGATAAGGTGGATCCATGAGTCTCTTTCACTATAATGATGAATGGTACATAGAGGTGGCAATTGGATCGGATTCGTGGATTCGTGGATTGGATTGGTGGATCCATGGATCAAATGGATTGGTGGATTCATGGATTGGATCAAATGGATTGGTGGATTGATCCATGAATCCAAATGACATCCAAGGCTTGGACCAAAATGTAAATTTTGAAAAGTTTAGGTACTAAAATGTCACAATGAAAAATTTTAGGTACCAAAATGTAATTTTCCAATGATATTTTTCGTATAAAAATATAAATTTTAGGTACTAAAATGTAAAATATAAAAAATATAGGTACCAAATCGTAATTTGCCATTTGGATCTATGGATTGATCCATGAATCCACCAATCCAATTGGATTTGGATCAAATGGATTGGATTTAAATGGATTGGATTAGGTGGATAATTTGGTGAATGGATTGGATTGGATTCATGGATTTGGATCATAATTGCCACCTCTAATGGTATACCATCTTGACACTTTAAGCCAATTAGAGATTATGAGAAGGGGATTTGTTACAGCCACTATTGTTTGTATTTTGTATTGAGGAGTTTGTGGCACTCTACTAGAAAGTTATTTATGAATAAATAATATAATATTTATTTATTTAAGGGTTAATAGCATTTTGTACCCCTTTACTATTTCAAATTAACAAATGTACCCCTCTACTAAATTTATGCACAAATGTACCGTTTTAATATTAAAACGTAACAAATATACCCTTCCGTCTAATTTTCTGTTAAATGGTCGTGAACTAACCTAATTGCCCTTTTTATTCTAAATACTTCTGATTTCGATTTAATTATTTTGTTTCCCTAACACTAGTAATTAAAAACTAAAGCCCAATCTTTCTGCTACACCATCCACCGTAGGCTCCTCTCCTTTCCTCTCCCTAGGGTTTCCCATTCTCCTCCATCTTCTCATCAACTATTCATAATCAAATTTACCCATGTACATCGTACATCGATAGATTGCAGGACGACAAGTGCCTCCATCTTCCCATCATCTCTTCTCCCTGCGTAAGTGCCTCCGGCCACCGGCGCCAGAGTCTCCGGCTACCCCTCCACTATGCATTTTTGGAATTGTTTATAAACAAAAATAGACGGTGGTGCCTTCAAAAAGCATTGGGATCAGAATCCATCTTAGATTCATTCGGTAGAGGCAGCGGAGCAGGACAATAGGTGCCGTTGAGCGGTTTCGACTGCGGTTTACCCGGTGTCGTCGATCGCAATTGAAGAAGAAGCACAACCTTTCTCTCATCTTTCCCATCATATGCCGAAAGGGGAAGGAATCAGAACGAATGGATGAGGGGACTATCTTGATGCATAATCATTGTAAATAAAATCTTAAACATTGCTTTGTAGTGCTAATAATTAAATTGATTGACGATGGTAAAAGGTTTCTCTATTTTGCTTGGGTTGGCCATTGTCGACGAGGTGTTCGGGAGAGCTCCGGTGTGCCGTTTGGGATTCTGCGGGAAGGAGAAGAGTGGGGTTTGGGTGGTGGGTCATTGCCCACAGGGAAATGGTAAAGACGAATTATTGATCTGTCTTCTGGTAAATTAAATAATTATATAATAATTGAAGGATAAATTAGTCATTTCACATATCATTTAACAGTCAGCTAACGTAAATAGTGACAGAATGGTACGTTTGTTACAACCTCATAGTTGAAGGGCATATTTATGCAAAAAAATTGTAGAGTTGTAGGTTTGTTAACTTACAATAGTAGAAGGGCATAAAATGCTATTATCCTTTTATTTAATTATATATTTCTTTCAATATATTCGTTCAAATAATTATTCATCAAACTATAAATGATTTGATTGTGTAACTTACTTCTCGTGCAATCTAAATTTGAGAAGTGACATATTCAATAGTAAGCTATGCGTGTTAGAAAATCAATAAATTAAAACATATATAAATTATAAAATGCATGTGATGATCTAGAAATTAATCTTAACAAAAGAAATGCTTTGAGTTAAAATATGTTCTTAGTTATAGTAGGAGGCTTTTCTATATCTACTAGAATGAGAAATTTTTGTAACTAAAGGTTAGAAAATTAAGGATTTTCAATATCTTATGTGATAGTGTTCCTTATTTGTGTGTATTATTTTTTTTCGATGAATGTAGTGTTCTTTATTTATGTGTATCATATTGTTAATGAAAGGTAAATTTTGTAACAATGGGTCCTGACACCTAAACCCACTCCTCTTCTCCTCCCTCCACCACTGAGCAAGGGTGCGTATTAGCCCACGAGGCGGTGGCAACAACTTTACCAGTACACATTATGTTATGTTTCAAGTTGCCATTTTCGCTTTGTCGAACATTGGACAAGCACATGGAAAATTTTTGATATGGTGTCTATGATGGAGAAGCAAGGGTTTACTGGATTTAGTGGCATAATCTCTGTCGTAATAAGTATGATTGGGGACTGAGATTCCGTAGATTTGAGCAGTTCAATCAGGCTTTGTTGACAAAGATAGGTTGGCAGATTCTTTAAGAACCAAAGTCCTTACTAGCACATATTAAAGGCAGGGGCGGACCCACCTATTGGAGAGGTGTGTCAACTGACACACCTCCAACCGAAACTTTTGTGAGAGACGTATTTTTTATCGGTATAAAAAATACGAATACGTGAGCTCAAACACACCTTCGATATTTGTAACCGACACCTTCATTACATCACAAGAAATTTATTGTCATAAAGTTATTAAAATATGTAAATATAGGAGTCAATGGACTTCCGACTAGACAGTTAATTAGTTGGTTGTACGAAACTAAACAATTAATTGACTACTTAGCATGCAGAGTATTCAGAGAGGTAAAAATCACCTTAAAGATTAAATCAATAATTTTGAATTAGAATTAATTGATTAATAAATGAGTTCAATCAAGTAATTAGATGGTGAATTACATATTGTCTTTTCGCGGAGCTTCTTTCCATAGATATTTCATGAAATTAATTTTCAATTTTGTTTCTGATTTAGTTATTGTTTTACATTAAATTATAGAAAATGAATTTGGTTCCTTTTAGTTCTTTATTTTTAATCATTAGATCAAGATTTTACGGATCCATGTGGGTCGGTAATATACTTATCTCTATTACTAGATAACTAATTTGCATAAACATTTTATCGCATCACTTCTCCTTTTTCGATTGGACAAAAATGAAAACTCAATCTTACTTACATTAAAAAACCTGTTTATCCTCTTACCTTTTTTAATTCACATTTCTTCCTCTCCTATTATGCTTATTGAGAGGGGAAAATCTCCAACACCTGCCTCGAAGCTCTCTACTCATAGCAAAGTGATCAATTTATAAATAATAATTTAGTTGTGCGCATAAAAAAGGGTTTAATTGCAATATAAATGACAAATATAATTAAGAACCTTTCATAATATGAAAAGTTATCGTGTTTCGCTGTAAAATCAGTGAAATTTTAAATTTTATGAATAAATCTTATATATTTATTTTTTATTAATTGAATTTATTTTAAGTAGTTAATTTTTATTTTTTGCTATTTTTATTTACCGAGACATCTATCCAGTAATCCTGGGTCCGCCATTGATTATAGGGTAAATATTTTTTGCATAGTACGGTGCTAGGAACAGGTAGTGGGTCACGTTCTTCCTGGGGTAGGCTGCGTATTCTACATCTATGTGAGCTTCGCAAGCTAGGACAGCGATGGAAAATAGGTTTTAAAACCAAGGTGAAAATCTTGGGCACTGATTGGATACCAGGGGTAGAAGCAAATTAGCAACAGGCATTGCAACTCCAGTCACGGGGAACGATGACGTTTCAGCGTTAATAGTTGGGTTATGGTGTTTGGATTGTCTGCAAGGGTGCTCCTTCCGGACACAATAAAGGGGGTGGAGAATAAGCTTGCCTGGCAACATACGATGAACTTTTGGTATCATTTGGAAGTACGCCGAAGTCGAGCGACGGGGTATTGGAGGAATGAGGTAAGTTGTGGATGGATGTCTGGTCCTACCCGATTCTGCCTAACCTTGGATTTTTTTTTGTGTGGCAAATGTTGAGGTGTATACTTCCCACAATGACGACATTATTGTTAAAGGAGGTGGAAGTTTTGGGCAGATGCCAATTCACTGGGCGGAGGAGGAAACTATGAAATCTATTCATTTACTGCCTGGCAGCTATTGCCCTTTGAAGGCTTGAGGACTTTCATGTCCGGGATAGAGACAGCGAATTTCGTTCTTTCTCTGGCTTGTTTTGCAACAAGGCTCCACCCGGAATAGGGTGATTCGAGTCATTGCATTGCTTTGGCATATATGGAAGGCGCGTAAATGGATAGTGTTTGATTTCAAACAGGTTAAGACGACTCCTCTACTGACTACTGGTTATGTAGTACCGGTTCCAAGTGGCGGAGTGGGTAGTTCTCCCTATCCTAGGGGCAGATAGTCGAGCATGGGTGTCTCAAGGACTGAGAGTGGTGGAGGCCCCAAATATCTCTCTGGTGCTATGTGTCTGTTTGATGGGGCCATATGTAATGTAGGGGATCACACTCGGAAAGTCATTCAGGATGCAACGGGGTATGTGGTGAGGGAGGGGCTTGCGGTGTGAAGGACTTCATGAACCGACGTTGGTGGAGCTGATGACACAATGAGACGAGATTTTCGGTGGTGTAGTAGAGCTAGCAATTGCTATTATCACAAGATATCAGAGAACACGAGGACAAGAAGACATAGGAGCCAATAGGAGACCATGAGAGACGACATAAATCCATGGATTCAAAAGAGGCAGCCAGCCAGTAGACAAAGCAAAACAACAGACAACAAACCATTGGCCTCGTAGCAACCAAAGAATGAGCTACGACGTGTTCTTGTGGTATCTGAATCCTCTTGAGTAGCATGGGTCATAGCAGCTACTAGCAATGACTAACCGGTTGTTCTAAAAAAGAGATACCATCATACGCAAGATTTTTTACATGCCAAACATAACACACGAAGCAAGCCAGAATGGGCAAGCATCAAAGATTGAAGACAATTCATCAATCAATCCTGTCGTTCACAGCTCCGGCAGAAGGAACCCCAGAGAAAATATATAACTAAAAAACGAAAGAAGTAGGCAATATCTCCTTCTAAAGCCCTAAACTCCAAAAATAAAAAGCCAGTACCAATGTATCAGAACACACGTTTCTCTAGTCTCAAACGCCCATGCATACACTCCAACCAACCTCACAGAAGCTTTCAAGAGACGAGGTTCTCGTTCAAAGACAGTGAGGACAGCTGATCGGCGGTACTCCCTGCTGCCTGATGCTGCTGAACGCTCCTCAGCACGTCCATAGCCTCAGCAACCTTTGCCTTCAATGCCTCTGGTGACTCCAACAAGTGCAGAACCTCCGTCTGATCCATCTCCAGAAGCATCCCTGTCACCTTAGCTGCAGCATCTGGCTCCAGTTGTTCCACCAGAGGGTACAGATTCTCACCCAGCATCTACAAGTCGCAGTAGGATCAACATTTAACACCCGAGTTTTCTTGAGATAAACCAGATGAAAACATGGTTATCTAATGTAATGTGCTTACAGTCCTCTGCTGATCTGGAGTAGCATTAGCAAGTGCAGTAGCCAAAGCCCCTATGGGGATTGGCTGAGAGAGTCCTGCATCACTTCGCATAGGCATACCACCAGCCATGTCATATGGAACAGAGAGCATGCCTCCAGGCCCAGCAACACCTGTCATGGGGCCATCAGGCATACCACGCCCTGGAGGATAGCGGTAGACACGGCCCCCCCTTGGAAGCATCTATCATTGTATAAAATCAATTCAACGAAGACAAAAGAAAGTTCACACTGTTCCATTAGATTAAAACCAATGACAAACACAAACCTGCTGCTGCATGAGTTGAACCGGTTGCTGAGATTGCTGACCAGCCCCTCCCCTTCGACCACCAGGTCGCTGACCCTGCTGACCGGGTGGAACCATTGGGACAAAGTAGTTTTGCATAGGTGCCCCTCCAGGACGCATACCAGGCACAAGCTGTTGCTGATACCCAAATCCAGGCTGACGTGAAATCGGAAACCAAATTCAAAAGTAAGAGAAGGCAATCATGAAAAAAAAAACATGACAGTAACTGAATTGCCATCAAGCATGGGGAGATCAAGCATGTTACCTGCGAAGGTATGATAGCAGGAGGGGCTTGCCCATAGAATATCTGCTGACCCATTCCTGGTGCCCCAGGAGGATACATTGGCATACGAGGTGCAACAGAAGGTGGCATTGCCAACGGTCGCATTTGAGAAAATTGCGCCTGTGCAGAAAAATACATAGAGCTATCTGCTCTCAGCCAAACTCACAAGAGACAGACAAAAACAAACTTAACAAATGGTGCCGAAGTTGCTCGAAGACTATTAAAACATCACTGCACCTGCAGTCTGGCTCTTCTATCTTCCTTCCTTTGAGCAAGTGCAACATACAATGGTTTGCTGACAATCATCTTTCCGTTCATCTCCAAAAGCTATCAACAAAAATAAAAGAATCAACTATGTGTCAATAGTTTAAATGCAGATGAACCATGAAATCAAACTTACAGCTCTATTAGCTTCTTCAGGAGTCGAAAACGCAACAAACCCCGAGCCTCTACTAACGCCACTAGGATCTCGCATGACCTGTTCACAAGATTACCCAAAAAATTAGCTAATTGTTGAAAATCAAACCAGAAGAAAATGGGGATTCCAAACTTCTACCTTGCATGATGTTATTGTACCATATGGGGCGAATAATTCTTTCAGCTTCTCATCAGCTATGCTATCATCTAAATTTTTAACATACAAGTTAGCTCCTTGAAACTTATCAGCAGCCTCTTTCATTGTCTGCTCGAACTTTTGTTTCAGTTCGACTTCCCTCTCAGATTTCTTTTGGGCTTTGCCAACATACCACTCTTTGTCATCAAATTTCTTTCCATTAAGGGCATCAACAGCTCTAGCAGCATCATCACAACTCTCAAAGTTGACGAAACCAAAGCATTTGGATTTTCCTTCTGCATCTCTCATAATCACAGCACTGGTGATTGGTCCAAATTCACCAAATGCATTCTTCAAATCATCATCAGTGGTGTTGTCGCCAAGATTCTTCACAAACACATTGTTGAATTTGCTCCTGTCATTTGAATAGTCTCTTTCCTGTTTGCGAAGGAAAGGACCCACAAATACTTGCTTGTCATTTATCAGCATTCCATTCAATTTCTCTATGGCCTTCTGTGCAGCTTCCTCGGTATCAAACTGGACGAAACCATAACCTTTTGACTGACCAGAAGAATCAGTAGCAACCTTGCAAGAGAGAATGTTCCCAAAGGCCGAAAAGGTTTCATGCAGTGCTTTGTGGTCAATACCCTTGTCCAAATTCTGTCAAGTGCAAATGTTGTATCCTCACACAAATAAACTAGGGCATTAAAAGCAAAATTCAAAGGGCCAGCAAACAATAAGAAACCACCTTTCCGATATATCTACCTTGATAAAAATATTCCCAGCACCACTTTTGCGAATGCTAGGGTCACGGTGAGAATACATGATTCTAACAGGTTTCCCATTGATTGGAGTAAAATTGAGCATATCCAATGCCCTAGCAGCTGTATTCAAGAAGTTATATGTGAGAAATTCCTTTCACACAAGATGTATCTTTTGATTCAAGTACAACAATAGATAAATGGAATACCAAATTGCTAAATCCCAGTATGTATCAAACCAAAGATAATCTGGATGATGCATCATGTATATATGAAATAAAGTTATCTGTCTATGAATCACTCCACGCATGAAAAACTTCAACGCCACTCTTCCCCAAATCAGGACTCAGAGACGAGTGCAGCAGAGTATCTAACCACAATGCAAATGAAACTGGATTTAATTTTGATCAAAACCTCTATTGGAAACACCATAACTGCTTAAACATTTGGAAAGTTTGACTATACCACAACAAGAGAATTTGTTGGGAAAACATTTTAAAACCATTAAAGAGCAATGCATTTATAATGGCTCTAATTTAAAGGTCACAATACCATTTACAGCCATGAGTGCTAACAATACCCTACATGATGCCATCAAGGAGTAACATCAACAAGAAGGCCATTTGCAAATACTAGTTTCAATCAAGAAGAAACATGCAGCTGGCAAGCAGAGCCACTGAAAATAAGAGGCAGTAAGTCGACTAAGCGGGATCTACAATTACAGGAAACCTAACAAGGTGCTCCAATAGCTGATTGGTTAAGTTTAGGTAAGTTTGACCTGCTGCTGACCAGAGCAAGTTTCGTTGTCAATTGATGTCATTTCATCTAAGACTATAGGACCCATAATCTCCTTATGCTTAATATATATCTAACTAAAAGGTCACAATGCTAGGAAAAAACCTAAAATTCACCAGCTAGCAGAGCAACTGATCATCCAGCAAGACGGGTAAACAGGCCATGTATTTAAAGGAAACCTAAACAAGGGGTTTATTAGCTAATAGCTAATTCATCAGATATTGGTTAAACATTAGGTAAGTTGGAAGCAACATGAAAAAACATGTTTTTTGCAATGAGCACTGAATCAATAATGGCTTTTTATGCTAAAAAATGTATCTCAATAGAAGGTCACAATACCACCATGACTGGAAGCACAAAAACCTACATGCTACTGTCAGAGTAACACCCTCGACAAGGCCATTCGAAAAACTACTTTCAATCGTGAAGAAAATCTCCCAACAAGCAGGAACTGTATTACATGATACCTAAACAAAGGTAACATCAGCTAATTGGTTAAAGATTGAATAACTTAGACACGTTATTGAGAAACAAATTATGGTGGCAATAACAATTCATTCATACCATTGAAGACCACTGCATTCATAATGGCGCATTATGCGTAATACATTTGATTAACCAGTCACAATATGATGAAACATGAATACTAGCAGAAAACCTACGTGTTGCCATCAAGAAATCATACTAGTGTTAGTCAAGAAAGAAAGTTCACTGGCAAGCAGATGCACTGAGCATAAGAAACGGTAAGACAGGTGTTAAACTAAACAACCGATTCGATATAGCATCTCGTTCATAGTGGTATGAAAGAAATACCATAACTGACACCACAACATCAGGAAAACAATCACTACCAAAAACATGATCATTCAAACGGTTTATCAAAAACCCTAAACATAACTACCCTCAACTACAATCATCCTTGCATAGCACCTAGAAAGAGAACTATCATTTACCCGACTGAGTAAAGACTTGTCAAATAAACGAGCTATGACAACAATTCAACAGAGGAATCAACTCCTTACTGCAGAACTGCAAGAAGACGAGTCCCTCCCTTTTCCATTCATTCAACAACACTCTTCGGGACTTAAACTCCAATCAAAACAAATAAAAGAAAAAGCAATCAGAAATTACTAACCATCGGGGGCATTGGTGAAGTTGACGTAGCCATAGCCCAGCGACCTGCGAGTGGTCAAGTCCCTGCAAACACGAATCGACACAACCTGGCCGACCTGGGTGAACAGATCGAAAAGCTGCGCCTCGGTGACGTTGAACTCCAGATCGCCGACGTAGAGCGAAGTGGTTGTGAAATGCGGGTTGTTGTTCGCCCCGCCGTTCACACTTTGCGCTTGAACCGGTACGTGAACCTGAGCCATTTCTTTCAACTCTCTTCGGCTTCCTCCAGAAAAAAACGAATCAAATCTTTCAGTCCAAAAATAAACAACCCGATGAAAATTATCACCCTTATTTCTCGGCTCTCTTTTTTTTTTTTTTTTGGGATTTTTCAACTAAGTCTTCCCTCTCCTCTTTTTATTACGACGACTGCAACTGAAACCCTAAAACTCTTCTGACCGGATAGATACGCACACCAACTGTTCGACAAAAGGACTCTGGAGACAACGAGACAAAAGATAATTCAGTTTGAGAATAAACACTTTTTCATGTTTTTAGTTTGTTTTGGATAGGAGGAGGAGAGGGAAGGAGATGGTGGGGAAGCCGCCGAGGGAGGTGCGGCGGCGACACGCAGAAACGAGCAAAACGGGAGGAACACGAGAGAAAAATAAGGAAACGGACCCGACTGAGTAGGTTTTTTTTTTAAGCCAAGAAAACACTCAAATAGGAGAGGCAAAAAAAGAAAAAGGATTGCGTTCAAGGAGTGACTAAAGAAAACCTTTGAGATGACGCCAGATTTGAGATCTCTGCCGTCCGATTTACCGGACCGGGAAACCGCGGGGTCCATAGAGATCAGGATTATTTTGCCACTGCCACGTGGCAGATGCCGCGTCGTTTTCGGGGCGGGCGGTAGTTTTTTCCCCGCTCGTACAGTTTCCTTGGGAGTTGGGATGATGATGGAATGTATGATATGAATATTTTAAGAGTAACGGCTAACTTATTAAATTATAGTACTATCATAATAAGGGGTTGTTACTCGTCGCCCTAAATAATCCTTATTCGTCGTCTCCCAATGTCGGATCCCACTCCCCCGACGAGGTCTAGACATACAGGTTAGTCACTAAGACTTTTTTGATTGTATTATTTTTTGTTTGTGTGTTAGTTTTTTTTATAAGAGTTTCAATATTGTTCCACTTGGTTGATTTCATAGGTAATGCACAAAAGAGTCAATTGTGGCAATTCCATAATGAGAGGAATATGTGTCCATACCTCCAGTACATCCCATCTAACATACACCATCTTGTTAGAGCTTGGTTTGACCTCGATGGGGATGGTCATTGTGGGTTTCGAGCAATCTCACACATAATTCATGGGGACTAGGGTTAGGGATGGCAATGGGTCGGGTCGGGGGCGGATAGTGCATATCCGTTACCCTACCCAAAGTAGTTCGGGTTTTACCCATACCCATACCCACATATAAAACGGGTAGAAAATTAAAACCATGCCCATACCCGTTCGGATTTCGGGTATCCACGGTTATCCATGGGTAATGATTTCTCTTCATAACTCCAACTAATATGTTAACATTCACACGTATTCTCACATTACGGAAGAGGAAAAGTATGACAATAATTCACTAGAATGAAGAAAATTAATTAAAACAACACAATTTCATGAAAATATTATATTTATATGCTAAATATAAAATATGTTAGAGAAAAATAATGACTATTTCTAGACAAAATACATATGTATGTGTATAATCGGGCGGGTTCGGGTTGGATACTGAGAAACCCATGCCCACCCATTACCCGCAATATTCGGGTTCGGGTTTTACCCATACCCACTAAATGTCCTTCGGGTTCGGGTTTTACCCTACCCGATTAGGCTGGGTTCGGGCGGATATCCACGGTTACGGATATTTTTGCCATCCCTAACTAGGGTTACTACTTAGAGATGAGGCAAGCTGTTATTGGAGAGATCACTAGCCGATGGGATTCTATATACAACAGACATTACGATGGGACACTAGAGGAAGTGATTCGAAGGTTGGATCAAAAGAAGTCAGGATGGTGTGGCAACGAGTACTGGTTTGAGGAGGTGGATCTACTAGTATTCGCGACAATGTTCAATTGTGCCTTTTCAGTCTTCGGGAGAGCAATTGATGGGACATATGGGTATAGTGCATTACCCGTGACAGCGCACCAGGGACAACATCTCCAGTTAATGTTTATGCCCTCGTTCATACTGGAGTACATTGTGTCCGACTTAACTTGCAGACGTCAGAGGTGTTACACCGATGCCTCCATTTAGTTTTCAGTGGTCTCATCTTCGTCATATGGAAACTGTTGGTTCTTGGTCATTGTTGTACCAGGAGGAAAGAATGTTGTTTATCACTCTTGGTGGACATCAGCAGAGCATACAGGACAAGGGTGAGCTGGAGCATGTAGAACTTGAGTAGTTACATTGTTTTAGCTTTTCGGTACTTATATATGAAGTAGAGATTGTTTAGCTACATGGTTCATCTTTTCGGTACTTATTTATGTAGTAGAGATTGTTTAGCTACATTATTTCATCTTTTCGGTACTTATATATGTAGTATAGATTGTTTAGCTACATGGTTCATCATTTCAGTACTTATCTATGTAGAAGATATTGTTTACGACATATTATCAAATTGAAGTATTCTGCCTAATAAAACCTGATCGATCTAAGGGATTCCTGACCAGCCTGTCTCATTTGATGGAGATACATCAGCAAGGGCAACGTTATGATATCATGCCACATATGAACAATACCAAAGCAAACATGCTTCTACACATTCAATTCAACAATAAACAATGTGCAGTTTTCATTTTGAGATTGTTCAGTCTTCTAGTGAGAAATAGAAGGATTGCAAGTCGCCAGATCATGGGTAAACCATGATTAAGTAATTAACCCAACAATTATTCACTCAATCAATCAGATCATGGGGAGTTGGAAACAGGGACGGAGTTCTGGATTTGGGAGACGGAGGAGACAATAGGGAATTGGAATTGGAATCAGAGTCGGCGACGGGTGATGGACTTAGAGTCTGTGAGGTGGCACAGAGTGAGACGAAGACGAGGAGGGGGAAGACTAGAATGAGGAGTCTGTGAGCTCTGGGATCCGCGCAGTCGGAGTCTGTGGACTCAGGCGATTAGGAGCTCTGCGATCCGCGCGATGCTGGCAGAGCTCAGGGACGTCAATGACCATCGACGCGGAGAGGAGACGGTAGGAGTTGCAGATATGTGGAAAGGAAGAAGAAGCGTTTTCTTTGAGGTGGGTAGAGATGATGTTAACCAGAAAAGAGAATAAATTAAATTAGCTTCTGCCTTCTCAACATTTGTTTGGTTAAGGGATAATATAAATTATGTTCAGGGCTAAATATATCAATTTAATGCGTTTAGGGGGATAAAATTTGAATTCTAGGGCGACGAATAGCGATTCAGCAATAAACGGGTATATTGCAAGTTTGGTCACTGGAATTACTAAAACATGTCATGTTTGCCACTAAAATTGATTTTTTTTCATTTCTGGTCACTAAAATTAGTTTAACCGTTCAAGTTTGGTCACTCTCCGCCGTTAGTCTCCGTTAACTTTTTCTGATGTGACAATCAACTTTGATAGTTGACTGTTAAATGAGTGACGTGGCAAATAAAAAATAATTAAAAAATAAAAACTAATATTTTAGAAATTCCACCTCATTCTTCTTAACTTTTAAAAGTTAAAATAAAATGAAAAGGAAACTCTCTTCCCATCGTCGGAAGAGCTCTCTCCTTTCCCCTTCCACACGCAGCCAATTTTTTGGTCGGTAACCACCCCAATCCCCCATAATTGGTGTCCTCCAGTCCATCGATGTCGTGCAATTGAGACTCTGTTGTTCAAGTGCTTCGTGCGCCACCGTCCCATCCTGGACACTCTGCCCATTCAACCCTCTCTCCCTTTCCCTGCTCAAGTCTGTTCGTGTCTTCACCTTAGCAACGGATTCGCCACCGCTGCATTGAATCCAACTCTCAAAGCCACAACATCATTACAGATCTAGCACCGTGTTGTGTTCCTTTGCGTAAGATCGAGTGATTGATCGATCAACTCCTGGCCAGGGGCTCGGCAATGGCAATAGCCCCTTTTCTATCTTGGGAGCTATGATTCTCGGTTGGTGTATTTAAGGAGAAAGAATAGGAAAAGAAGAATGGTAGCAGTGGTGTGACTCAAAAGACTAGTAGGAAGGAGAAGGTTTAGAAGTAGAAGAAGAGAGATGCAGGGGAAGGTAGGAAGTTAGGAAGGCCAAGAACAGATAGTTGCAGGGGAGGTTCTAGGAAGAAGACGGAAGGAGAAGAAGAAGAGAGAAGAAGTAAAGAGAGAGAGAGGGATAATAGGCATAAGCCTCCAAAATATTAATCTTATTCATAAACCCCAACTAGTGTAATCTTGTACTTAAATAACAAAATAAAGTCTAACTACTCTCCTAATCCTACTCCACGTTCAGGAGAGTGGAATCATGATCCAAACAACCAACAATATCAATAATTCGAATTGAAAAATTAAAAACAACCAAATGCACGTGACACATCGGCCCTCACCTCCGTCATCGCCGCTGTTTCTCTCTCTTACGTGCCTTTGATCGTGAACTGGTTTCGGGAAGGATTTTAGGTTTGTTTCTTGGGTCTAGGAGAAAAAGAGTTGGGAATGGCTTCTTCGAGGCAAATTAAAACTCAAACCCACCACTCCTAAAAACTAGCTACAGAGTTCTATCCCACAACAAACAACCCAATAATGAAATTCCTAATTCTCGGCCACTAAACTACTCGTAACGTACCATCCCTTGAAATGATTCTGTTACACCCCGACCTTTGTGTTCAGGTTCGACAATAATACGTAAACGGGTTACATGCTAAGGATTACAATCGCGGGCTAGGAATAATAATAATAACATAATTGTTATTATTATTTAAAATAATAAACCCTAATGTTTACTCGGCCTCAGCCCAAAGAGCAACACCCTCGCTACTTCACCGAAATAAGCCTGGACGAGGGAGGGCAAAAGCAGTCTCGTGTCAATTTCAGTGGAGAAGCGGGCGATTGCTCTCGCAGTAGCTTCGCATGAAGAATCTGCTGCGATGGCTATGAGAGCAGTTTGCTTGGCCGAGGCAGCAGTGGGATAAGCAGCTTGCTTGCCGCTAAGAAAGCAAGGGACGCGGACTTGCTTTCCGCCACCAAGGAACTCCCCAATAATGGACGTGCCTGGTTGTTCTGCTCTACTCCGCCAGGCGCTTGCTTAGAAGCAGCTTGGACCAGCCTGCTTGCACTCTCCGACGGTAGCAAAGCAAAGCGGCGGATTACTCTCCCTACTAGAGCTGTGTGCTTAAGCAAGCTCCTGTCCGTTTTGTACGGGAAGCGGGCAGGAGGCTTGGTTGCTCGCTAGGGAAGTCAAACAGCCACCAAATATGCCCTGGTAGTAACCAAGCTGGTCCAAAATAAATTGCTCGCGAGGGGAGTCTCCACTGGGTTGCTCGCGAGGGGAGTCTCCAAGAGGCCGGACTCGCTGTCGGCGCAAATCTGCAAATTAAGGAAGCTGGTCCAAAATAAAGAAGAGGTGCTACCTTGCTGTCGGCACAAATCTCCGAAATAAAGAAGAGAGGTCGGCACAAATCTGCCCTCTCTGCTACGAGAGGTGCTAGCTGGTCCAAAATACGTGAAGCAAGCTGGTCCAAACTAAAGAAGCAAGTCCAAAATACGTGAAGCAAGCTGGTCCAAACTAAAGAAGCAAGTCCAAAATACGAGCTCCATTAGTGGGGAGCAAGCTGCTCCTTCCAATTTATTTCAATAGTGCCAAGCAAGGTGCTCCTTACAATTGCGCCAAGTACGAGTGTAATAAGTTGGAACGGAGTGGAGCAAAATCAGAGCCAGTTACGAATGGAGGAAAGGTGAGTGTAAATAGGGTAAATTCTACGCCTTACGTATTCTTTTAAGTGTTATGATTTTAAGTATTTTAGTGACTGGGTTACTATTGCTTGATTACGTTTATGATTGATTTGTGCTTTGCTTGAGCTATGATTTGAGGTGAGTTGGGTCATTTACCTTAGAGTGTTATGCTTTGAGTCATTGTTAAAGTTTAAGAACCAAGTTGTTTTTAATAAGTAACTCACCTTCAAGAAGGTGAAGTCGTTTTAAGTGTTTTTAGTCGCTAGCGCCAATCCGTTGCCATTTGAGATTTTCAGATAGAGCAACAGCCAACAGTTATGCTCTTGAGATCTTTGAGACAGAGCAGCAGTTATGCTCTTGAGACTTTTAAGAGGGGCAGCAGTTATGCCCTTGAGAATCGTGGTGAAGAGCCACCACAATAAGTTTAAGATGTTAGGGGGATGAATCGTTACGACTTCCCTAACTAAGTTTAAGTTTAAGGAAAGCCTAGATGGCTTCTCATACGTATGAGTTGGCAACCGGACTAGCTAGTGAGGGATCCCAGTGTCGGTCAAGTATTTAAGTCAAGATTTGAGCTTTAAGAGAGGAGAGGAACTTTAACTCCCTCAAAGTTTAAGAGTTAAGATTTTAAGTTGGGAAGTACAAATAACTTCCACTAGTTAAAGTTAAGTGTTTAAGTAAAGTACTCAAGTGTTAGAAGTATTAAAACGTAAGGGCGTAGACTGACCCATCTCACTCACCAGTTTGAGGAGCTAGAGGAGCAGTTAGTGAGCAGCGAGTTCGAGGGCAGCCAGCTAGAGGAGAGTAGTATAAGCGTCACAGAGGATACTTAGTCAAGGATTTCAGAAGCAACAACCTCAGAGTATTAGTTATTTACATTTATGATTATGAGTACAGACTGGAGATTATTTTGAGATCAGATTGAGATTTTAAAGTTTGAGTTTAATTTGCCCACGTGTTAGGGCTTTGCTTCGAACTTCAAGTGTGTTTTCAGTATTTTATTTATGAAAATTTTCCCGCTGAAATTTTAAGATCTTAGTATTTTATTCATCAAGGGCATTCTAGTAAAATTAGTACCCGGCTGGGTTAGGGTGTTTCAGATTCCTGACCAACAAAAGTCAAATTTGAGTTGTGCGGCAAGAGATGAAGTTGTCCTGTTGTTTGATTGTTCCTCTTCGACGTCTTTCATAGTGGCGATGCTTTTCGTGGCCAACGCCTCAACTGGGATTGTAGCAGCGGCGAGGTTCGATGGGTGCAGCATGCTCGCCGACAAAACATCGGCTGTCACTAGTGGCGCAATTAGCTTCATCGACAATGCGGGAGGGCCTGTTGGAGCTCTGACTCTGGGTTGCTCTCCCTTCGATTCTTCATCCATCTGCCGTCGGGAAATAAATCAAACGAATCTTGCGACGAGGGACGTAGAATTCTCAATGCTATAATCTCTTACATGATATTCTGCCTGAAAGCAGCTTCACGAGGCTCCAGAGCGGTGGAAGCTGCCGACTCTGATACCAGCGTCTGCCGAGTAGCCAGAAGTGGAGTCAGCGGCGGACGACGACGAATGGCCGATGAGGAGCAAGCGGGCGAAGGTGCGGAGCAGCAAGTTTGATTTTTTTATGATAATGACGTGGAATTTCTAAAATATAATTTTTTATTTTTTTAATTATTTTTTATTTGCCATGTCACCCAATCCAGCTCTCCAGACCTTTATAGTAACACGTAACCCCGATTATCAGTATTGGATTTCCTAGATCAATGAGCAACTTACGAGGTCAACCGGTTTTCTAAGATGTCCCCTATCTCTCTCAATGCGAGTACTAGACTCAAGCCGGGATCATGAGAAGCAGTGGAACCAAGACAAACAATTCATGGATAAGAAACTCATAACATTCTACGACCAACGACTCATCGTATTGGGTGCTCTTCCATTCATTTCAATCGTTGAAACCCCTTCTCTAACTTTCATTTTGTTTTTCTTTTGTTTTTCTCATTCATACTTTGTGGCAGTTCCGACTGCATTTTTGTGCACGGTCGACCCTTATTGGTTGAGCAAGAGCAATTTCTGTATATCTGCCGTTCACCAGAGTACTTTTTTTAACTCCTTTTCCTCAACTCGTGTGGAGGGTCAATGAAATTAAGAGGGGTCGGAAGCTCTATCCGTGCCCTTAAAGACACATCCTCGAGTAGGCAGACCGTTCTACGGGTGAAATTTGTACTTGTACCAGAGACAATTTAGCTTCACCTTGTAGGCCTACCCCACCAAAGATACTAAAGTCTCTTCCAAAACCCGATTTTGTGCAATGAACGGTGCCACACATGTTGGACGTACCCCATGTCTTAAATTTAGAATCTCTAACATGGATGACCAACTGCCTTTCATTTCACACACTTGAGAACCTTTTTTCCGATACGCGAGTGCATAACATACTTAAGGAGAGTAATCAATACCACATGAGTCAACGGTCCTAAAACCACTAGTTCTCAAAATCAACCGGCACATTAGAGAGACAGATAGGAAAAATCTTATACTTCAACATCCTCCATAGTGCTAGGTTGCATATCACCATAAAGACGGTCAATTCAAAGCATACTAAGTAGGGTATTGCAGGGAACAGTACTTGGAGCCCACAATTCATCAAATTGGACAGTGGACTAGGCTCCAAGCACACAAACTCATCTATGCATTCAAAGATAAACACCCCCCCCCCATACTTAAGCACGACATTGCCCTCAACGGAGAAGATGGAAAGATAAGGGGAATGATGTTACCGGAAAAACGGACTACCGGAGGACTAGCGATGGGACTAGTATGTCGGGGTGGACGCGATGGTGGTCAGTCGATGCTGTCATATCTGGTTTGGGGCAATGAGGCGAGAAGGGAAGAAAAGAATAAGTCTCGCGGGTGGAGACTTCATATTCATCAAGTACACGAGCCTACATCACCTGTCATACCACATGCTCATGACTTGAGACTTCGCCTCGCTAACGTGAACCTCAAATTCAAGGAGGTTCTAGTATGGACCAAAACTTAAGAGCCACCGTCCGGCTCACGACGTGAAAGAAGCGCTTGTTGGGAGGCAACCCAACCAGTCGGTTTGCACTTTCTTTCCCTATGTCTCTTCGGTTGAGTCAGATTGTTTTTTGAGTTTAGAGTCAATAACTCAACCTTTGTGGAATTTTGTGTGGTGTTTCTGTTTTGAATGCTCTTTCTCAACTTTCCTCCTGGAATGCACTGCCTGTCCCGTTCACCATCATTCACACTTGATCTGGTAACTTCGTTCTACCCTCCTTACTTTTCCTCCATTGAGGACAATGTCGTGCTTAAGTGTGGGGGGATGTTTCATTATTTTTGCGTGTGAATGTTCGGTTGTTTGTGTATGTTTGGAGCCTAGTTGTTACACCCCGCTCTTCCCAAAAGTCAAAATGACTATCATGCCCTCAGGAAAATTTGTCAAATTTCATCGTAATATCGATGAGGACTAAAAATGCGATCTCTCGACCCAAACTGTGTCGAGTTTCAACATAAAATGAGGTAGTTATGGATATTAACTGAGTTTTGAATTAAACTCACTTTATACCAACTAATCGGAAAATTCTCAAAATACTCCATGGGTTTGGCATAAAACTAACCTAAACCCTAACTCTTGCTAGCGGAAATCATCCTCCTAAAATCGCCGGCGCGTATCACCGTCGTCTCCACGCTCTTCACGGGGACGTCGCTGCTGGGGATGCTAATGAGGTAGTTGGCGTGGACGAAATGCGTCGCCGAGGAAACGAAGCAGGAGAAGGCGAGGAGGAAGCGAACAGCGACCGCAGAATCCTGACGAGATAAGCGAAATCCAGAAGCTTACTCTATCGCCGAAGATCTCTCGAGCTGAAGGAGAGGAGTAAAGCAGAAGCTCTTGAGACTTTGTGAAGAAAAAAAGACCACTAAGAAAAAGGGGAATCGGAAGCTCCCACCTTAAATCGCTACTCTTCCCACTCCAGTGAAGAAAAACAACAACAGAGGGATGGCAGGTTCTTCGAATTTCACTGTTAACAGCAGCAGCCCAGCTATTAAACTCGACTTACGAACCCAGTTCAGATCTCCACTGGGCTCCTTTGCTCTTCTGTAGATCTCCCTTCGTTCTACTACTTTTACTGTGAGGTATTGAAGGGCTTCTTTTTAATTTGTGGGTTTCCTCCATGGAGGCCGCGAAACTTGCAGCTGATGCTGATACCTGAAGAACCATCACTTTTGGATTTATTAGCTGTTATCAATTGATACTGATACATGAGCTAGTTTCTGAGATGGGTAGTTTTGCCTCCGATGAACTCCACAACAGCAACGCAAAAGCCATTGATGCGTCGGTGGACGGTTTAGTTTGGGTTCGCAGGAGGAACGGGTCGTGGTGGCCTGGTGGGATTATGAGTATGGACGAGATTGCGGAGGGTAATTTGGTTTTGCCAAGATCGGGCACTCCAGTCAAGCTTCTTGGCCGGGATGATGCTAGTGTGGATTGGTATAATCTTGAAAAATCCATAAGGGTGAAGGCATTTAGATGTGGAGAATATGATGAATGCATCGAAAGAGCTAGGGTAGCAGCAGCAAATGGCACTAGAAAAGCAGTCAAATATGCTCGTAGGGAAGATGCTATTCTCCATGCTCTTGAGATTGAGAATGCTCGATTGGAAAGGGGATTCATGAAAGAAGGAATATTGTTTGATTACCTGCATGATTCTCTCGACCTAAGCTCTCTTGTCATTGTTCTGGAAGCCGATAGCGGTGCTGTGAAGGCGATTGAGGTATCTGTAGAGAAGGAAGATGTTGTAGCTGAATAAGATAGCCAACGCAAGAGGGACGAGTAGTAAATCCAGCTCTTTCTTATGGAAATCCAATGAGAAGTAGCGGCGACGTTGATCCACTCTTGGTTGAGGTTCATCATCGGACTACTGAGGTGAGTGTAAAGGGGGTAAATTCTAAGTCTTGCGTATTCTTTTAAGTATTATGATTTTAAGTATTTTAGCGAATTGATTATCGTTGCTTGGTTATGTGTATGATTGATTATTTGTGCTTTGCTTAAGTTATGGTTGGAGATGATTTTGTGCTATTTGAGGTGATTTTGTTTGAGCTATGCTTGAAGTGAATGTTTATTAAATACTTTGAAATTTGTACGAGTATAAGTTATTATTAAAGAGTAAGAAACAAGTTCTTTTAAAGAAGTAACCCACTTTAAAGAAGGTGAAGTCGTTTTAAGTGCTTTTAGTCACTAGTGCCAGTCCGTTGCCATTTGAGATTTTCAGATAGAGTAGCAGTTATGCTCTTGAGAATTTTAAGATGAGTAGCAGTTATGCTCTTGAGAATCGGGGTGAAGAGCCACCACGGTAAGTTTAAGATGTTAGGGGGATGAATCGTTACGACTTCCCTAACCAAGTTTAAGTTTAAGGAAAGCCTGGATGGCTTCTCATACGTATGAGTTGGCAACCGGACTAGCTAGTGAGGGATCCCCGTGTCGGTCAAGTATTTTAGTCAAGATTTGAGCTTAAAGAGAGGAGAGTAACTTCAACTCCCTCAAAGTTTAAGAGTTAAGATTTTAAGATTGGAAGTAAAAACAACTTCCACTAGTCAAAGTGTTTAAGTAAAGTACTCAAGTATTAGAAGTATTAGAAGTTAAGTGTTTAAGTAAAGTACTCAAGTATTAGAAGTATTAAAAAGTAAGGGCGTAGAATGACCCCATCTCACTCACCAGTTTGAAGAGCTAGAGGAGGAGCTAGAGGACCAGTTAGGGAGCTTCGAGTTCGAGAGCAGACAACTAGAGGAGGGCAGTATAAGCGTCACAACGAATGGCTAGTCAATGTTGTTAGCAACAACAACGTTGGAGATTATTAGTTATTTACATTTATGATTATAAGTATAGATTGGAGATCATATTGAGATTTTAAAGTTTGAGTTTAATTTGCCCACATGTTAGGGCATTGCTTTGAACCACAAAGTGTGTGTGTTTCAGTATTTTATTTATGAAAATTTTTCCTACTGCAATTTAGGATTTGAGTATTTTATTTATCAAGGGCATTTTGGGTAAAAGTAGTACCCGGCCGGGTTAGGGTGCTTCACTAGTCCACTGTCCAAATTTTGATTTGAGGGCTCCAAGTACATGTTCCCTGCAATTGTCTGCTTAGTATGCTTTGAATTGACAATCTTTATAGTATCATGCAACCTAGTGAGGTAGTTGTAGCACTATGGAGGATGTTGATGCATCAAGAAGTCTCCTTTCTTCTTCATATTGTGTTGGTTGATTGTGAGAATTAGTGATCTTAGGACACTTGAATCGTGTGGTATCGATGACTCTCTACCTGACGTGGACTCCTGTATCATATTTTGAAAAATGTGCTTTCAAAATTATTTCTCCCGTGTGGAAATAGGTGAAAGTGTGTAAGGGAAGACATGAATCCGTTCCCAACTTCCACCTACTACTTCCAGCCCCCTTACACCTCTTTCCCCCACACGAGGCTTTAGACATCTGCTCTCGGTATGGTCGACAAGAGCTACTCCCGGCATGGTCGGTAAGAGCCGGTCTTCCTCAAAACCTTGGCTAGGTGGGAGCCCCGTTTCTGAGAATAATAGGTTGGAACTCTTGCAAAATGACAAAAATAAAGAAGAAAATAAAAAACAAATAAAGAAGAAAGGGGGTTCCAACCATCTTTAAAGGAAAAAATAGAGCACCTAAAAAGGTGAGTCCATGATCTTTCTATTTTTTAGAGTCTCTTTGTCCACGAATCAATTGTCCTCCTATCACTACTTGGCATGATCCCGACTCGAGACTAGAGTTCTCGCCGAAGAAGCCAAGAGGTGTCTTGTGCGTTGGTTGACCTTGTAAGCTGCTAAATGACTTAGAACGTCGTCTACCGACAATCGTGATTGCATGTTTCTATAAAGTTCTGGAGAGTTTCATTGGTTTGAGTCAGCTTTGCTTGGGGAAAAGCAATAAGTTAAGTGTGGGGGGATTTGATGACTCGATATTTGCACATGTTTTCCCCTTCATTTCTTGATCGTTTATCTTGGAAATTGATTGTTACTTGGCCTATTTTACGCAACGAAGCTTAGGAGTGCATGCTGGAAATTGTGCCCCGCCGTGCAATATTGTGCACGACCGTGTGAGTTTTCGAGGAGGTTTGCACGGCCAAAAACCCCAATTTGCACGACCGTGCAAGTAGGGGATGCGAATATCAGCGTGTATAAAAGTTGTTTTGCAATTTTTGGAGAGAGAGAGCTGGGTTTTGGATCCCAAACACACAAGGGACGAACCAAAGAGAGAGAGAGAGGGCGATCTAGAGCCATTATTGGAGCTATTTTGTAGGATTCTTCACCATTGAAGCTCAAGGAACAAGTCTAGACATGAAGATTGAAGATCTTGAAAATTATACTGCAATCTCTCTCTTCTCTATGGAGTAACTTCCCTTCACTTAGGTTTTGAGGAACCCTAGTTCCATGTGTTAGGATTTTTCTTGTATGAAGTTTTGGATGCTATATTGTGTGATTATAATCGATTGAGGCATGATTTATTGAGTCAATTGAATCCTGATCAAATTCTCTTGATTTCTGCTTTAACATATGATAGATAGAATCTGATTAGGTTAAGGGAGCTTCCTTGATTGATAGTAATGATTTTATTGTGCGAGAGTCAGTCAATTCACTGCTTTGTACTGTAATTTATTCCATGTAGTGGAGATCTGTGTGAATCGCCTTAGTAGTCTATTCCGGTAAAGTCTAGTCGCCTGTCGGGTATTATGTCTAAGAGGACTTGGTCAGCTTAAGAGATTCCAAGCTAATTTAGGATCTTCCGCAGTTTAATTAACAGTAAAACAACCAAAAGGAATTACAACTTGGACCTGATTGAGGAGCTAGGGGGAATCATACCTAAGTTAGTTCCCAACCTATAATTATTAGAGTAGTTAGTTTAGTAAATCAATCATTAATATAGTTTGCTAGATAATGAACTGAAGCTGAATAATAGTAACTCTAGAGACCCGGGATTCGATATTTATTACTTGTGCCACTATAATGCAGTCCCTTTCACTGGTTGCACTTGGACATTGTTAAGTGTTGTGTCGTAGCGTGTCCTCGGGCCGTAACTCCTTATCGTTCCGAGGCGGGAAAGTTACGGGCTGTGGAGAGAGTTATGGGCAAGCCCGTAATTGGGGGTAAGCCACACTTTTTTCCAAAAGCTCTCTGGAAGTTACAGGCAAGGCCGCCAAGTTACAACCATGGCCGTAATTTGAGGCCTCAGGCCGTAACTTCTGGGAAGCTTTTGTGTGTCTCCACCCAAACGCACCAAAAATGTCCCCAAACACCAAAAACACCCCCTCTGGTCCCCCGAGACCAAAATTTCACCAGAATGACACCACAAGACATAATAATCGACCACAAAACTCCATGTTTGACACACAAAAACAAAGAGAGAAAAGGATAGAAATACAAACCAAGGTCAGGTTGCCTCCCCACAAGCGCTTCTTTACTGTCTTTTAGTTGGACGCCCATGGCGGAACTAAGGGTCCGCGAGATCAATCACCAACTCCACCCATTCGAAATTGCCTCCCATATACAACTGATGCCCATTTACCTTTAACTGCTCAGTCTGCGGGTTGGCAATCTCAATAGTGCCATACGCAAACACTTGCCCTATGTTTAGTAACTCTCAAAAGGAACCGATCCCCTCTTCCTCATATGTGGCTAACTTGTATTCGAACATAGAAAATCGACATTTGCTCCCTCAAGAACTTAGGTGCTTTTCCCTTTTGGAATTGAACTCTTGGTGCTTGCCTCCTCTCTACCACGCCATAGAGTTGCGACCGCATGGCATCTCAGATTTAGTAAATTTTTGGACATGTGTGATGACTATTATCGACATCATGGCATGGCTTGGCTTCTTAACTCACGAACACGTGGTCGTCTTACCTCACTATGACCTCGTGGCCACCTCTACGCAGTCTCCTCGTCCCGTCATGACCATTATTGCTGGTCTTGTCATCACAACGACGTGGTCGTCTCTTCGCAACCCCGATGCTCTCTAGGACTTAGTCATTTTAGTTCAGAAATCTAATACCATCACTACAACAAATATGGGATTCACAACCATACAAATTGGCCGCAATATTAAGAAACGTGGTCGTGAAAGGATTTTGCGAACATTAATAATGGTCGCCGGACTAGTCATATATACATTGTCCCGAAAAGTAACTACGACCACCTTTTCAAAATGCTCGACATAAAGATATTTTCGATGACCATATACACTGGTCGTGGAAAGCTTGATATTATACGACCAGAATATAATGGTCGCTTGTTACCTATTTCGCAACAGATACATGTTGGTGGCCTAACATGTTATTGCGAAAACAAACATGGTAGCCGAGTGTCTGTCTTAGGCGACGAATTTCAATGGAGTCTCTTCAGCGACCACAATGTTATGGTCGCAAATAATTTTTTCCACAACCATTTTATTCAATGCATATAGCTGATTATTGGATAAGTTTTGCCCCTAATAAAGTGGGAGAAAAGTATTTGTATCTAAACATAATCTGTAACAATAGTGTCATCATACATTACTAAAGATAAGTACCATATATTTCATACTTCATTGTTCAATTGTTGGCAAAGTACTTCAACACAATTAACTAGTTATGGCCAAAAAAGTATTATCTCACTACAAAATTAGGTCTTCCCTGAATATATGTCCACCTATATATTCTTTTAGCACTCCCCACAATGTTATATCCACATAACATGAAGCACTACCCAAAATTCTTCCAACCTATAACTTATCATTATTAGTTGTATGGAAATCAACCAGCAATAAACACATTATATCATTATAAGTAACAACTTAAAACATTTTACACAATTTCTTATGCTAGATACATATATTTAAGGACTTCTACTCTAATGTTAAGAAGTGTATATCAATATAATCAACAATAGCTTCCTAAGACAACCATGACTAGCAACATCAAAGGAAGAATAGATTGCCCAACAAAGAGGCAACAACATGAGAACAAGGCCAAAGGTTCTCCATTCATAAGTTTCAAACTAATTTTAGAGACCATTTAAGGGACAAGAGAGTCTCCAAATAAAAACAAAGATAAACTAAAGGGGCACAAAGCAGATTGACATAACATGCACTAACCAACCAGAAAATTGATAACACTAACATAAATCGTAAGTGTGATCAAAGAAAGTGAACACCTTGTTGCGCATTCCAAAAGAAGCAGTCGTGTTGTGTTCTTTGCTTGAAGAAGACCTTGTGATAGGTTCATTGAGGCCAACTTGTGGTGCTATGGGAGGCTGCAAGACATAACTAAGTTTCAGTATGGAAGAAGTCTTGTGATCGATTTCCAAGTGGATTTGCTGTCTAATTTTTTGTTTTGGGAGGACTCGGTACATCTTCTTTACCGAAAACATAAGACGGAAAGCAATAAGCAGAAGGGAGTATAAAATGGAGCTAATGTAACAATCGACTAGTGTTAGAGCTGCAAACAAACCTAATAGAAAGTAATATGCCATTATACAAACCAAATCTTCCTATCAAACTACTATGATTTGTATGAACATTTATGCATTAAACTTATGGGATTTAATCATAGGAGACCAGATTAAATGGTCGCTAAAATTTTAATAATTTGCGTCGAACTGTATAGTCGCCGAAAAAGAAAATATGGCCGCCAAAATGTTTTCATCTTCCCGCCTTGATAAAGTAAACCCAACAAAAGGTTCTCTTCAAATATTTGACAATTCGCGACCTTTTATAAATTGTGGTGGCGCATAATGACATTACTGTCGACCATGTTTTTGAATGGTAATAACCTTTTTCTTGTAGTGCATGAAGCAGCTTTTAAATAATTATTATAACTAACTTGGTCTTATAAGAGAATTAATTACCTTGTAACTCATCAATGTGGTACAATATACTTTTTAGGTGTAAACAAATTCCCCCATTATAGTCAAAATCCCGATTTAAAGATTAAGAACTTACGATTTTATGATCTTACCAATGAGTACTGGTCCTGATTTTACTACTAAATATTTGAACCATAAACTCCCATTAAATTCTGATTTAAAACTGTAAAATTCATATAATCTACAATTTATATGATCTTGTATGATTTCAATGTTCAAGTAAATTGAAGCAAATTTAGGTGGACCACGTCAAATTTTTCCCAATAACGAAGCTTTTTCAATCGAAACACGAATCCCCAATATTCGGTCTCGAGCTTAAATACCCTCGTCAGTAGGGATGAAAACAAAACCCAAACCCACGGGTACCCACCCGACCCAACCCTGTCAACGCGGGTAAAATCCGTGTTGACGGGTTTTGGGTATAAACCCGTTCACTATTCATCGGGTTGGGTTTGGGTAAACCCGCCCCATGGGTACCCACCCACACCCATATAATTAATTTTCTCGGTATATTTAATATTCTAAACAACTAATCTTACTTATGTTTGTGGAGACATGTCTAATTTTATCTTTCTAATTGTGTAGAATGAAGATGATTGTATCGAGTGGAAAGTGAAGAAACTTAATTGACAAGGAGGAAGAAGCTTTCAATTAATCATGTTATTTATGGATAATTTGTGATTTGGTTCAATTTTCTTGAGTTTTCTAGATTGATGTTGAACAATTTGTATAGTTAAATTGTGATTTGCTTGAATTTTCTAAAATGGTGTTTCATATATGGATAATTTGTATTGAGAGATTGATATTTGACTTTAATTTTGATAGAAAATTTTTACGACAAAAACCCATGGGTACCCATGAACCCGCAAATACCCAGCTGATGGTTTGAGTTTTTAAAACCCAGTGGGTTTTATTCCGGATTTTTTTCACGGATAAACCCATGGATTTGGGTTTGGCAAAACTCGACCCAACCTGATCCATTGTCATCCCTACTCGTCAGTCGCGATTACACAAAAGGTTGCAGTTTTGTTTCCTTGGTTCTGAATTAGTGCAGTGGCAACCATAACTTATTTCCTTTTTCAATGATGGAGACAACACTTTACTTCGGTTTCCCCTAGGGATCCTTATTCAACCCACAAGTAGAAATGCGTAGTCGCAACATAGCAGGCCTTACACAAATCTAGTAGACTTTAGGGGTCGTTTGGAGAATATGAGTTTAAATCTATAGATTGTCAACAATCTAAAGATTCTAACTCTTTGGATTATTGAAAATATATTTTAAAATGTTTATTGTTTGGTAACTGTGATTGTTAACATTCAATTGAAATAAAAATTTTATATTAAATAACATGTTTATCCTTAATAAAAATTAGAGCAGTTCGAGAAATATTAAAAACTTTGTTAGTAAATATATTGAATATGATAAATAAATAAAAGAAAGAGAAAAGGTAGGAGAAAAAAAATCTCATGAATCAAGATATAGAATCTCTCTGATTATGAGAGATTTGATATCCATAGATTTTAGAGATTTGAAATCTCTAAAGCTAAAATCCATAATACAAAAAGCAACAAAAAAACATAATTTTTTACAAAATCTAGGATTCAATGAATCCACACCCTAAATCCCGTTCTCCAAACGACCCTTAAATCTTAATCTCATTATAAAAAAAAGTAGCCTTTATGTATTAAAATAATTGCGTGATACAGAAAGTTACTTAGGCCTATGCACCAATTAGTAACTAAATTTGAACCTTTAATTCAGAAAATCCAGATCTAAGGGTGGAGAAGTAAACTCACTTTTATTTTCCCTCACATCTTCTTCGTTTTAAATCGGATTTCAATTTATTTTTTTTGCACAGATAGAACGAGTTCGTTGTGCTCTACAAAATGAGATCCATTTTCAATATTTTTTAGAAAAATTTTTTCTTGCCTCTCGTTACCAACTGCATGCCATATAGTATCTTTTTCGTTTTAAAGTCGTTTTTTAAAAAGTTTGCACAGAAAGAACGAGTACATCATGATCTATTGGATCTAAAATTTTATGGGTGAACAAAATACAGGACAAAAAAATACCACACAATACCACCCTGGTACGGGGTGGTATCTTGTGGTACACAATGTTAAAAGTCGTAAATGACAGTTGGTATACTCCTACTATTATGTATTCAACCATCTTAGAGTCTTGGTATGTTCATATCATCATGGTCCTCTTTTCATACCATATAATATGCTCTTATTTCAATACCAGTCAATACCATATGGTATAGACTGGTAAAAAATTGATCAATTTTTTTTGTTCCAAAAACATATCAAAGTGGATATCATTTTGAAGAGCACAATTAATCTGATCTAACTGTGTAAAAAATTAAATTTTGACTTAAAACGAGTGAGAAATCGTCCGCTAAAGATTGATGAGGGGAATTATTTCAGGAGAGAGAAGGAGTGCTAATATGGTGAATGATGATTGGATTATGTATGATTACTCACCACAAGATTACTGACCGGATCTATTCCTTAATATTATGGTGTTAACTGTTAACTGATAGATAATGATGTTTTTGTCGTCATTCATTAAGAGGCTATCCATGATAATTATGTTTCTTGTAGTGTTTCTGTGTTTATGTTATGTAAAAAATAGCTCTATGGATTTATTTGGCATATAAACTTATCTTGAAAAGTAATTAAGTGTAATGTAATTCAATGTTATTCAAGATATGCATTGTTATTATAATTCGGTGTTTTACGTGTTAATTTTAGGATGAACCTTAAAATATTATGATTTTACGATTTTAATCTACAATTACAATTTTACCTCACTTTTTGGTTTTACGTAAAAACACGATTTTGACTACATTACCCCCTCTGCCTCATACTAGCCGGTCATGCAATGGACAATTTGTAATAAAACACAATCTTGCCAAAAAGGAAAGCAAAGCCAACTAAAACTCTTTCACCTTTGCTATTGCGTGGCCTCACTCATACACAACTATGAGATTCCTAAGTATCCTTTCTTTCCTTGCTCCAATAGATTAGGAAGCCAAAAATATAAAGACTTAGAATTTTTTTTTAAGATACACACCAAGGCCAAGCCCTCACGCGGCCACTCAAATTGCCCTCGTGCATCTTCTTTGTGGGCGCCTCGACTAAAAGAACCAGCCGAGGCCCTCCTTGAAGATAACCTTTGCTTCCCATCTCACTTGCCCTTAGCCTTAAAACAAGTAATTAATTCAAACTCGAGCCCCTTCCTCAACTAACACGGACTAGAGGCCAAGCCAACTTGGAATATTTTTATCTTTGAACAATCCTCACAAGGCCTCCTTCCCCGCAAGCTAGTTCAATTTTTTTATCCAGATTTCCAAGCTAGCCATCACTCGCCTCCAAACCACGATGCCCCCACACCATGAATTCCACAAGAAGTTCATGGCTACCTAGACGATATGGTATGACATGCTCAAGAAAACGAGACAAGACTCAACATGTCAAGCCATCACAATGACTTGGTGACAAGATCCTTACATCGAAGTTCATCTCATTTTTAAGCCATGATTGGCTTATTTTATTATTTAATATATATCCATCACAATGACTTGGTGAAAAGATCCTTACATTGATGTTCATCTCATTTTAAGTCATGATTGGCTTTTTTATTATTTAATATATATCTATTATATTTATTTAATATGGTAACGATTACATATATCACTACTGTCCATAACCTTTGGCAACAATCAAAGTGCTAAAGGTGTAAACCCACTGTCAAGTCTATAAATCAAACCAGAAAAACCATCATAAACGACATGAATCTTTTGAATTGCATGGGATCCCATGCTTCTCTCCCTTGCCCACCTTCCTCTATCTGGGTTGCCTCTTTGTTGACATATGTTTACTTTCCTCATGTTGTTGGAGACCACACTTAGTCTTGCGAAGTCAACTACTATCCATGTAGTGTTGTTGGGTATCGAGTTTGTGCCATCAGATGGCAAAGCTCTTGACTGCACTAGTGGTGTGGTAAAGAACTCCAGAATTCATTGAAATCTTCAATCAATTGACTCAGACGCATGTCGACCCTATAATTTAAATACTCATAGCGTTCATCAAGAGATGCTAGATGAATTTTTACTTGTTGAGTGCTTCGGCAAAGGCTGACAACGCGAGCCTCCAAGGATTGGATGTTCTCACTCATCCTCTTTTCGTTATCCTCCATCCTCTTGCAACTCTCATCTTTCATTCAGCGAAGTGACACAACTTCCTCACCGATATTTACACTTAGTGCCGACATAAGTGGCATCTCTAATCCGACATGGTTGCCTGAAGTTCCTCCAATTTTGCCTCTTTCACTGCTGGCCATATGCTCTTCTTCCACAAAGCCTTGTGGTAGATCACCTTCTTGGTTCTTTTGGCTAGGAGCCATCCAATCAAATACAAGGTCAAACTAGGTGTGCTAATTTGTTTTCCGGTGGGAAAACTCGCGTTGAATTGAGATTAATTGTACGTTGACGTCTACGGACAAGTGAACAAAAATTACTAATACATGGTTCACACCTCTTCAAACAAAGTTCTAACAAGGGTGTTTGATTGGTTATTTTGGGAACAAAAACTAAGTTAAATTAATCCTTCTCCTATGAAGTTTCAATGAGAGCTCCAAAATACGACTATGACTACATTTGCAGTGAAAGATAAAACTTGATGTAGGCGCCAGTTGTATGGTTTTGGGAAACTCTATCTATGTCGACCATCTCTCTTGTTTAATTTATAGGCATGGGGAGGTAACCGTCGTAGGAAACTGTATATTCAATAACTCTCAAAAGGAACTGCTCCCCTATTCTTTGGACATGGTTGATGTGTCTTCGAACGTGGAATAATCTCTAGTTGCTCCCCTAACCACCTAGGTGCTTATCCCTTTCAGAATTGATATCTTGGAGCTTGAATCCTCCCTGTCACATCATGGAGTCTCCACTCACGATCCACGTGGTCTTCTTGGACTTATTATCTGCTTGAAAAGCACGGCGGCCGTTATCTCAATTCATCGCGTGAACTGGCTTCTTAACTCATGACCACGTGGTCGTCTCACCACATTGCGACCATGTGGTCGCCTCCACGCGGTCTCCCCGTACCCTTATGACCACTATCGCGGGTCTTCTTCTCACAATCGCGTGGTCGTGTCCTCGTAACAGGCAGTGGCTTGTCTCCTGACCGCATGGTTGTCTAATCGCTACCGCAGTGTCCTCTCGGGGACTTAGTCATTGGAGCGTAAAATCTAGTACCATGAGATCCAGTTTAAATAACATTAATTATTATAATTAAATTGACTTTATAGTTGTAATATATGATAATTTATCTTGTAATTTATCAAGGTGATATAAGATAATTTTTAGCAGTAAACACCTACATAAAAGTAAGTTTTAGTCAAATAAGTGATTCGTGGTTAATGATTTCTTGGTGCGTAGGGCATATAAAAAATGGTATTCTCTAGCACTTATTCACAGATCCTATAATAACTGGGAAATTAGAAACAAAATGCTACTTATGGGAGAACTTAAGTAAATTAAAAACAACGTTGAATTATTAGAATAATTAAGCCACAAGTTTTTCACTGTAGCATACGGTAAAATAGCATAAGGCCTAATTTTTTAGGAAACAACCTCACGTTACTGTTCACTATTAGAGGGGTTGTATTATGTGGTCTGCTCTCTAAGATAGACCCGAAACCCACCTGTTTGTCAGCTAATCAAGCATCCGCTTCTAATTAGAATAATTAAGCCACAAGTTTTTCACTGTAGCAGATGACAGAATAGCATATGACCCATTTTTTCGGAAACAACCTCACGATACTGTTCACTATTAGAGGGGTTTTATTGTGTGGTCCGCTCTCTAAGATAGACCCAAGTCCCACCTGTTTGTCGGCTAATCAAGCATCCACTTCTAATTCTCTTTCGTCTCCATTGCACTACTTCTCTTTTCCTCAACTTCGCTGGCCTTCATCTTATTCTTTTAATTACTTCCCACACCTGTGCATCGGAGGAAAAAGGAATCTGTTTGGGGTTTTTTCTTTCACTATCAAAATCTAGTATCTCCAATTACTATTCTACTACTCCCATGATGAGTGAACCGGTGGCAATATTACTGGACTCGAGCATAAAGGTCTCAGATTCAAATTTCTTATAAGTACGTAGTACCTAACTTTAACAATAAACCCTAATTAAAATCAAACGTGATACTTTTTGTAATTTATATTTTTATTATTAATTATAATTTCGTTATTATTAGCGAGAGTATCCACTATTGCATAATTTAAATTTTAAAGGTTCCCTAAGGTCGGTAACTTGATTTTATTACTAAACCACATATGAAGGAAGATTTATGTAAAAATGTTCTATAAAATTCCTGTAAAATACAAATGCATTACGTAAAGATTATGGATGGATAATTATTTCTTATGTATCAATTAAACAAATGAATTATGTAAGTCTTCAATAATGATAAAGATACTATGTAAAGGTTCATGACAGATAGTTATTTCTTATGTATCAATTAAACTAACATATTATGCAAGTCTTCGTAATATAAGTTTGAATGAAAAATATGGACATTCTCATCAATTTACATCACATAAAATTTTTATAAAGTCAATAATATTTACATAACAGTTTAATTATGCGTTTTCCTAGCATGATTCCTTTATGTTGACTAAAATATCAACATATCATGAATTGTTTTATTATGAAAACATTTTATAAGACCATTTAAATTTTACACAACAATTTCATGAAATTTATTAATTACTTGAGCTATAAATACATTGTTTAAATCCTCCAGAATGATAGTTATTTCTTATATATCAATTTAATAAGCGTAATACATAAGGTTTTCATAATGATTAAGAAAATACATAAAACTGATCGAGGGAGAGTTAATTAAATATATATGATACTTTCATATTTGAATGGATATTACAGAAGATTTATGTAACAATACTATAGAACAGTTATATAAATTATAAATACATTGCTTAAAACTTATGGAGGGATATTTATTTCTTATATATCAATATTTAAAAAACACATTAGGAATTCTTTCATAATTATTGAAAATTTACATAAAACTTATAAAAATATAATTATTTATTATATAATAATGAAACACATGTATCACGTAAATATTGTATTATGATTAAGGCACTACATAAAACTTATGAAAGTATCTTACATGAGCTATTTTTTGAAGTATTTGGTTTCAATAAATCATGTAACCAAGGGGGTAGCCTTTGGGTTGTTTGGATCACTAAATATCGGTTAAAGAGCAAGTCAATCTAGGATATCAAGCCCAACTAAGCTGGCTCCTGGGTTTGGAGACGACTGCTTAAGATTAGGCCCTGGTTCAAGTTTCGTTTTACTGTTCTGGGGCCAGGCCATGGATGTTGGGAGGGCGAGCAGATGGTCAAATTTTCAGGTAAGCAAATCTGGCGCTCAATCCATATTAAACAGCCAGTTGTTGATTGGTATAAGGTGTTGTGGGGAAAGTTTTGTGTTCCAAAGTATCGATTGCTTACGTGGTTAGTAGTGCCAGATCAGATAAACACTAAAGATAAGCTATTGGAGTGGGGTATTGTTGAAAATAATGTTTGTATGCTTTGTGGAGGCTCGAGAGAGACAAGGGATCATCTTTTCTTCTGCTATCCATATTACTCTGCTGTTCTTCTGCAGTTTTTTTCCAAACATTAGTTGGCTAACATCGTGGCAGGGCTGTTTGCAACAAGCTTGTGCGATGGTGCAGCAGCAGGGGGAGATATGACTTCTTTATGGTTCTGTATGGTGCTGGATTGTTGGGATGCTATGGAAGGAAAGGAATCTTCGAGTGTTTGTGAAGCAACATAGGTCTAGCCAAGCCCTTATACAAGTTATACGTAATGAAATACATCTGTATAGCTTAGGAAATTTGCAGTTTGGTTTACTTTTACCCGCCAGTGGGATGTAGTGGAGGTAGGTAGTATTCTTAGTTTCCATGTAAGTGTGGACAGGTTCAGTTTTCGAGAGCTTGATCATCTTGATCAAAGCCATGCTTAAATAAAATACAGATCCAATTACCGAAAAAAATAAAAATAAATCATGTAACGAGTGGATAAAGTTTTCAAAATAATTACTTTCTTACCGCCGTGAAGCGCTGGTAAAAAAACTAGTGGGAATAAAAGTAGAAGAATATGCATGTGTTTTGTACATGACTTTTGAGTTCAAGCCAATTTATTCATAAATATTTCAATGTGATGAAATTCCAATTTCCATACATGGGATATGAAATTCTAGACGGATTCTATGTGAGGGTATAAACCCCTTACTAAAATCATCACTCCAATTTATATTTAACATAGGCATCGCTCCATTAATTTAGCACCCACGTACGTCAAGACATCAATTCCAGCTCCTCAATCAGAGCACCCAAATCAGAGTACGAAGAACCCCCTGCTTCCAAAGCTTTCCTCGCCGCCTCCCCGAGCCCTTTCACTTTCCGGCGCATTTCCGCCATCACTTCATCCTCCTTAGACATGATTCGGCGCACTGCCCTCTCTACCATGTCGCTACGTATCATCTTCACTCCGTAAGTCGATGACTGCTCCACCCCAACCTCAAGGCCAATCTTCACAACCTCCGTCACCAGCTTCTCGTTGTAAAACTGCTCTGCCCCCACCGGCCACGTCACCATCGGCAGCCCCGCAGCAATCCCCTCCAGCGTCGAGTTCCATCCACAGTGTGTCACAAATCCTCCTATCGCCTCGTGCTCTAGAATCAGAACCTGCATGTGCATTAGGGGTGGACCCACTCAAAAGAATAGGTTGTCAATTGACAAACCTTAAATATAAAATTTGAACAAAATATCTGTGTAAGATTTTAGTTTGGTAATAGTAGTATTTGAATTCCAAAATATTTGACAACCCTTAATAAAATTTGTCTATTGTTAAATACTCTTAATGAAATTTCTAGGTCCGTCACTGATGTTTATGTTAAACAAATTAATTAAGTTATGATTCAAGAAGTTAATATATTAATAAATGTTATGTAATCTATAATTAAACATCTTCCAACTAATTGATTTATTCGGATAAACTAATACCTGTGGAGCCCAGCCTTGGATTATTAGTCCTCTTCCTGCGGTGCTCTCCTCGAATCCTTTGGGCAACCAATCCTCTTCGACGTCGTTTCGACCACGCACCACCCATATAAATGGCTGACCGGAGGATTCGATCCCGACCGCGATCTCCCTCAGCTGTTGGGCAGTGAAATCCGCTTGACTACCGAAACATACATAAACGACGGCGTTTGCTTCCTTGGAGTCCAACCATTTCAGGCACTCGTCTTTGTCGATCACCGCTCCCTTCCCGCGGCTGGCCTTGTCCTCCACGTCACCGTTGCAAAGCGAGACCGGGCCCACATACCACGCCTTCCTTCCAAGAATCTTCCTGTAATTAAGCACAGAGATAATAATAATAATTAATTAAATCGTCAAGTTAATGGATGGTTAGTTAATTACTTGATTACCAACCGTATTGTGAGAAGTTAACTCCTACCTAAAATGGTCCACGTAAGCGGGTTCCAGCTCGTAGAAGCTGTTGAACACCGTCCCGTAGACCTCGGAGTAAGACTCCCTGACTCTCTTGAAAAGTTGGGACAGGAAACTGGTTCCGCCAACCAGAGCCGCCAAAGGTGACAGCTGGCGCTTGGTCAGCCGGACTTCATCCGGAAGCCCCGGGAGTACGAACGGCTCTGCATCGGACTCCACTCGCTGCTGCGGCGCGTGGGCCGCCAGGGCCTCGCCGACGCACTGAGCGAAGCAGCTGGTGCCGTGGAAGACCAGCCGGGGGATCCCGAACTTGGCGGCGGATTCGGTGGCCCACGGGTAGAACATGTCGGCCACCACGCAGGCGGGGCGGTCTTGTTCCAGAAGCTTCTCGAAGGGCTCCTGGAGCATGGTGGAGGCCCGGAAGAAGTTGATGGTGGCTTCCATTCCCAAGTTTTGGGAGGTGATGAAGTCGAGGTTCTCGCATTGCTCCGGCAGCCCGGCCCGGGCAGCCGGGAAGTCGATGATTCGGGCCTGGATCTCGGCCCGGCCCGACGAAGAGTGCTTTTGGATGGTTTTGGAGAAGAAGGCGGCGTTGAGAGGGGTGATGACGATGGTGGTCTTGACGCCTCGGGAAGCGAAGAGCTTGGCCATGTCGACGGCCGGGATCAGGTGGCCGTGCGCCATGAACGGGAAGATGTAGACGTGAAGCTGGTTGTGGCCATTAAGACTGCCCATTTTGTTTTTCTCGGATTAGAGAGGGAAGATGGGAATGACTATTGCTATTGGTGGTTTTTGTTTGCTGATTCAAGTGTAGCTATTTATACTTGCAGTCGCTTATGACATGATAACCAGATTTCACGTCATTATAACAGCAATGACTTAAAAATAAAATATGAAATTAATCATTCATTAAAGAAAAAAATTATACTCGTTATAGTCTTATAGATAGAACGTTCAAACCTATTTGACCATTTTGATCAATTACTGGCTGGTAAAATTTGTATAACAGTGTTAGTTAAGTATACATAAAACCATATCATAATTAATGTTTGTGAGTATTTGTTTTGTGACTATTCTGTTTGATTTAGTTATACATATCGTCGGAAATATTAATGCTTATCGCCGTCGGCCACTTTCCACGGGATCTGGCAATTGATTTAGTAATGTGCATGAAATGTGGGTGGGCATACGTTCTAAGACTACGAGCATGCTCATGCGTGTATTAGTTAGATGGCTTTTCATGTCAGATCTTTTTTCCTTCCTCTGATTTCCTTTCCTCGTCTCATACCCAACCCCATCTTTTAGAACGTGGCGAGTTAATTTCCACACCTTACCTTTCCTTTAAAATAAGGACCAGTTTATCCTAATTTAAGGTATATGCCATGCCAATATCACTTTGGTCACATGTGCAAACTTTCATATGTCAAATGATCAGTAATGTAGGTTAGGAGTGGTTTTGATAATGAAATGTATAAATGTGGGATTTCTGCCCAATTCTCTCATTCTATAAATTTTTAGTGTGGCTCGGTGGTCGGATTAATCGTAGGGTAGCCCATTCAGTGGTTAGGATGTAATCCGTGATTTTTTTATCAATCAATGTGATTATCTTTTGTTAGAATTTTTTTATGTTTTTTAATCAAATTTCTCGTTTATTTATTGATTAGGATTTTATTAGCCAACATTTTAGTTTTTAATGAAAAATAACAAAGTATAGGATTTCCCTTTTCCACCCATGCTCGCAGACAATGGCGTATCCAGACTTTGAATGTATTAGGGTCTTTAAAAATTTCAATTTGATTGGGATCCTTACGTGAGGTATAGTATATGTGAATGTATGAGGTCCTATATTTCAAGAATCATGGTAAAACACATATATTTAAGGTTTTTGGTACCAAATTTTTTGCTAAGTGTGGGGTCCTAGTAGACCTGCCAATTTACAACCCGACCCGTTGACCCCACCGAACCTGCCCAAAAAGTAGAAGTTTTTATAACCCGATACCTGAATGACCCGAACCTAATTATCCCGTGATTTTTGGATCGAGTAGGGTGGGTTAGTGGATCAACCCGTTAGACGCATTCCATTTCATATGTAACTCGAAAAATGATAAAATCACTAATAAATTGGTGAGATGTTTAAAAAAAATTCTAAAGTATTTAAAAGACATGTTTGAGGTTTAAAGATAATCAAATATAATGTGTTTCTTGTAGTACTACTACTATTGTGATTGTTTTTTGACGATTTGTGCAGTTTGTATTTCATTTCATTAACATGGAAGGATTTGAGAATATGTTAATTGACATGTGTTAGGTAAACTATTGCCATGCATATGTGAAAGTTTGTGTTCTTTAAAAAAATATAAAGCATGTTTGATATTGTTTCTGAGAGCGCTCATAACCTGAAATGACCTGTCACCCGACTTGAAACCCGATGGGTCGGGTCAATATTTGACTTGAAATAGCCAATCCAACATGACCTGACCCATAACCCAAAACCCAACCCGACCCGATTTCCAAGTCTAGTTCCTAGGATCCCTCTCCTTAAGGGCTCCCTTCTTCACTAATTGCAGACAAGTATAGACCGAATCCAAATCTCCTGCCTCGATGACCCGAGCTCGTCAGTGTTCAATCTCATCGTACCCAAATCAAGAATCCTCATAGTTTCCTTCTTCTCTTTCTTAAATCCCACATAAAACTCTAATATTTTATTTTGTTTAGGGTTGGGAAACGGTGCTGTCTGGTCCAGACCGAACCATATGTGCGGTCTACGGTCCAGACCGAGATGTTAGAGTATAGACCACAAACCAGATCAGACCACGCTTGTGCGGTCTGGTCCAGATAGACCACAAGGAACGAAAAATGAACAATTAAATTAGTCAACCGCATAAAAATTGAACCAATAGCCAAGAAAAAATATTTTATTTCCTTAAAACATAAATTCCTACATGCATGGATAATTTTGACAACATAATTCTCAGTAAATAATGAAGATACAAAGTTAAAACATCCTAACTTGCACCATAACGTCATAAACATTTATGTATTGTCATATGAAGACATGATCGTCTCAACTCTCTAATGAAATGTGGTTGTGAACGAAGGAGTGGACGAGATTATCAAAATTAAGATTGAGAGTTAGGTATCGTTGTGGGAGTTGGGAGAGTAGTCAAGTGGGTTGCTAAGACATATTGAGAAGAGTAGTGGGTCCACGGTTTGGTCCGGTAAACCACAGTCTAAACCAGACCAGACCAGACCAAGAAATAAAAAAAATCATATAATACATACCATGAACTAGACCAGAGCATACTTAACGGTATACGGTCCGGACCAAACTGTGCGGTCCGATTTGGACCATGATTTTTCAAACGGTCGGGTCTACTTTCCCAGCCCTAATTTTGCCCACTACAACAATTTTGAAAAGTTGTGACAGACATTATTTTGTCATATTAGGTTTATTGTGACGACATATTTTGACATAACGTTATTCACAACTATCTCATCAAAATAGTTACAAACCAAAACGGTTTGTCATGACATCCTCACAAATATTCTGACTACTAGCATTTGGTCGAAAATAGATATTTATTATGACTATTTGCTTTGCTAAAACAAATAAACATTTATCATAAAGGTTCTGTTTTCGTAACAATATAACTGAAATTGGGCCCTTTATTTGGACAAAATAGTTACGACGAAAAAATCTTTTCATTATAATTAGTCAAACAAATTTTTTATATTTTGTTTATTATTATGATAAACACAGTTTTTCATAAGATATTTTAATTATGACAACTTTCATTTGTCGAAACTTGTCTATGGTCACCTTATTATGACAACTTGCTATGTCACGAGAAGTTAATATTGTGATTGTTCTTATATAGCACAATCCAATACTACTCCACTTGTCCTAAGAACTCCCAAAATGCAAAGCACCAATAGTTTGTTACACACAACCCACCCGATATGTTCATGCACAAAACAAAAGTCTTAAACAAGTACTAAGCATGCTAATGTAACATCACCTAGAGGATACAAAATGTGGCGATCACACTTCTAAGAAGTCCCTTAATGCCCAACAAATACATGTATAGACAGCAACAATTAACACATTATAAGCATATTGTTCTTCCCAAGCCTGCTTACTAAGCTAGCTACTGCAATTCAACCAAGTCAATATGGAAAACCTAATGAAAATTGTATGTACCTTGAACCAAACTCCTCTACAATATATATTTTAAGTTAGTGAGTCAAAATACTTCTTCATGTGATCTTGTATCTCCTCTTGTTGGGTTTCTATTTGTTGCTAGAGAAATTTTTTGTTTTCTCTAGCAGCCAATAAACTTTCTAAACGTGCTTCCAGGTCCTTCTCCTCTGGGGAACTAGTTTCTCTACTCGTGGGATAATTTGATGCTTTTTGTACCATCACACAAACAATCCAGATAGTGGGTTCCCTTTTTTTACAGCTTCATATAAATTCTCTTCATCTCCTCTTATGCAATGATGACACTTTATTTATAGTGTTTTCTCACTTTCATTCTTGATACATTTTCCCCTTATATCAAAGCATTTTTGGTTATTTCAACAGTATTTCCTATATAAATCATAACCATTTGATCCATGAGCCTTTAATAGGCCTAGGTTATGTTTTTGTACTCTTTGATGCCTTCCAAGTAGGTTTTTTTTAATGGTTTTGAAGGTACAAAACAACCTAAGGAAGATTGGATCAAGCATTGGAGAACTCTGGAGGACCAAAAGAGTTATACAAGAAAGAATTTGAAGCTTTCATGAGAAAGAAGATGTCTAATGACATAGAAGTCAACTAGAAGTCGTTTAATAAACTCAATACAAGACCATAGGAAGAAGGCTCGGCCCAATTTGAAGAAAGAAAGAGTGGCGGCCCAACAATGGGTCCAACTGCCGCTAGGGAGGATAAGTCAAGACGTGCCTAAATTGCAAGGGGGAGTCGTCCAAGGTGCCCAGCCATGAAGAAAATGAGTAGCAGTTCCCACCGCCCTACTACCGCTAAATCCTAATGAAACATCCCACCTCTTTGAATTTGGAAAAAGACATTTCTACCCCGGGGTATACGTTAAAAATCTCAAATAACACAAGTTTAAATAAAATACCAAACTCAAATATCTAAATATCTCAAATTGAAGCCCTAAACACGTGGGCAAAACTCAAAGTGTCCAAAAGAAATGAATCTCCAATCTTTAACTCTTAACCATAAAGTCTTAATAACTTGAAAAAGTTCTCCGATGCTTACTCTGACGCCTGGCTCGACATCTCTTAGCGACGATGGTGATGAGCTCCTTTAGCTTGCTGATCACGGACTGGCTGGTTAGGATTTCCTCCTCTACGATCTGGTGAGTGAGTTGGGGTCAGTCTAAGCCCTTACGATTGAAATCTCTAACATTTCTTACTTAAGAACTTAACTTAAATTGGTGGATGGTACTTCCACCCTCTAAGATGTTACTCTTAAAACTCAAATCCCACTTAAAAAAAATTTGACTGACACTGGGGTCCCTCACTAGCTAGTCCGGTTGCCAACTCATACGTATGAGAAGCCATTCAGGCTTTCCTTAAACTTAAACTTAGTTAGGGGAGTCGTAACGATTCATCCCCCTAACATCTTAAACTTATCGTGGTGGCTCTTCACCACGATTCTCAAGAGCATAACTGCTGCCCATATTAAAAGTCTCAAGAGCATAACTGCTGCTCTATCTCAAAATATCTCAAAAGGCAACGGACTGGCGCTAGTGACTAAAAACACATAAAACGACCTCACCTTCTTGAAGGTGAGTTACTTCTTAAAAAGAACTTGTTTCTTAACTTTAACAATAACTTATAAACTAAAAGCTTTAATTTAAATAATAACTCATGCACAGTCACATCAAACATAACTCAAACAAAATCACAAATCATCAACCAGGAGCACAATCAAACAACGACAATCACTTCATCAAAATACTTAAGGCTTGTAATTCTTGAGAGAACACGTAAGGCGTAGAATTTGTAAAGCTGACTTCTCGATCCTTTACTCGAAGAAATCCCTCCTAGCCGAAATATCTCGGTGAACCACTAGAACGTGCCTAGGCCTAGGTTGGATGACCCGGGACGCTGATCTTGTCACCGCTAGAAACACGAAAGGAATGAACTGGGAAATTGGGGTCGGGATCGAGATCGGGGGCTGGGATCAACTCCTTCTCTTTTCATCTCGCCCGCGCGGGACTGGGGACATCGGCAATTTGATTTTTTTTTTGGTTTCTGGGGAAAAGTCGAATGGAGGGAGTTGCTGGGAAATTTTGTGCCGGGCGGCTGGGTTTTGGTTTTTAAGGAGGTTGGGGAAAATTGTATGGAGGGGCCGACCCTCTCTGGCCATCCCATTATGCCTCTTTTTTTTATATATAATGATAATAGGAATAATAAAATAATAGTTAT